TCATCTTTACTAGCAATACTGAATCTAAAGCTCCGTCTTCGAATCAGCGTCTGTTTGGTGTGGAATTCCCTTCAACCGCACAATTTCCCTATGTAAGTAAGGGATTCCAATCAACCGTAGATTGCTCCCAACTCTATTTCTGACCTCTTTAGAACATCTTCAAACACGCCGAAAAATCATGTGATCTCTTTATTCCTGGACCTTAGTAGAAGTCCTAGCACTGCCCGCCTGTCCCCCTAGCCCAGCTCGCTGATGTTGGTGAGGTCAGTCAAGTCACGTAAGCGGCCAGTGACGGACGGCCCCGGCACCCGTCCCCTGACCCGGACCTATATATCGCTCTGAGCGTAACGGCAACTAATGGCGGACAGGTGGCAAACACACACATAACTAATGAGTTGATGAGGCACGGCCGGACCCTCGATTTCAAATCATGTTAGTCACGATACTCTAGTTTAAGTCGGTTCTTTTACTTCTACTTTTTCTCTTGCTAGTTGAGCATTCTTGTGTTTTTAAACAGGAACAACAACAATGGAAAAACACCAGAAACCGCAATAATAATACCAACAAAACAATAAAAAAAACAATAACAGCGGTGCTAGTAGTAATAATAATAATGATGATAATAATAATAATAATAATAATAATAATAATAATAATAATAATAATAATAATATAAAAATAATAATAATGATAATACTAATAATATACTAATAATGATAATAATAATAATAATAACAGCAACAATAATAAAACATAATAATAATAGTAACAATTATTATTAATGTTATTATTATTTCTATTACATGTATTATTATTATTATTATTATTATTATTATTATTATTATTATTATTATTATTATTATTATTATTATTATTTTATTATTACCCTGTCAATTACTTTTACTTGTGATTTACACTATCGCTACATACGGTTGTTGCTGTGAGACAGACAGTACATTCTGCTCACGTAATCCTAGTAATGAAACGTTTTCTCTGTCAGCGTAAACCGCAACAACAGCAGCTTAGGCCTAGTACGATGTTAACATTGATAACAATGCATCAATAATTAATTTGAATATAAAACCCGAGAGAGTAAGAGTATATTCTACTATTATAATTTTTTTAAAAGGATTAAACTGAATTTCACCTCTGTTCCCTTTCTCTTGATGAAAGATACACGGGCTGAATTCGATCTCTATTACAAGCGGTTGGATTTAAAATTGAAAAGTATTTCTGCATGCTGTTGTAGGGGTATATAACGGGAAAAGGTGGACATTCCATCAAAATCTGGAATGCAACGTTCGACTACTAAGCCATCAGTCTGAAAAGAGTACGCCATGACACCCCCCTCCACCCTGCCCCCAACCCTAGCTCCCTTCTAGTTGTCAACGTTAGTTTTCAAGCCAGCTTCGTCCCCAGCAGCTGCGGCCGGACTGCGAGGACAATAAATGAGCCTTGCCTAGCCCGGACCCTCCGGATGTCATGGCGAATTAATGCCATCTGCGCCTAATGAAGCGCGAGCATTCGTCATTTGTCAGTGGTCACTGGCTGACCAGCACACGGACCAGGCACCGTCGGCGCTCAAGTGGGACACGTTACATGACGACAGGGGGACAGGCCAGGGTCTCGGGAAGTGTACGCTACTTCATCAGCGCCGACTCTGCCACACGGATCTACGGACGTCTGCTTTGGTGCGGAACGTCAGAGAACATTGCAAACGGTGTTGGTTTAGTGCATTAATTTTTACAGTGAGACAAAACAATTTAAAATAATTTTTTTCTCGAAGTTTTCTGGTTCACAACTATTATTAATAGTTTAGCAGATGATGATTTAAACGGACCAAAATGAATACGTGAATCAGAGAAGACAGGAGTTACACTACTTGTAATTCTCGGTTTTAAAGAAAAAGCTTAGTGAAAAAGAAAACAAAAATGTCATATGTTTTAAGTCGTTCTACTTTTCAAAGTCACACTTCTTTCTTTTTACTGGTTTACAGATCGATGCGTGAGTAGTATAGTGATAACTATTGAAAACCTGAAACCTTTAACGAAATTTCTGTGTCTTGAGCTGGGACTTCAAAAAGTTCGTCTTCTAAACTATTAGATTGGGGTGGCCATTGGCCATTGTATAGGGTTTGTGAACTTTTCAACATTGCAGTTTCAATTAAGTGGCAGTAGGAATTCAGAATTTAACGTCCATCCCAGGCAGGAACAAGCCCATAACTAGGTAGAATCCTTCAAAACTCCCTGTAGCAGCCAAAGTTCAGAAGGTCCCTTTGGGGATTCTAACCAGAGCCGTCCGCTCCGTAGTGCAGCATGAATAAAATTGAGCTAACGGTAGGCCGACTTTGGGGAGAATAGTGTAGAGAAAAATAAGACCAGTAAAGTCAACAAAATATATCCTTCCTCTCCGACAGTTATAATCCCTCATTAATAATGAAGCTTGAAATAATTTTTGTAAAAATCTCAGCGGTGAAATGAAAGGATGAAAGAGGTACAGAATGAAATAAAACTTAAACACTAATCCAGTTACGACGCCTACGAACGACAACTAAATACCATGGAAATGACAACATGGGACACGACATGATCACAATAAGCCACTGAATTGTAGACAGGGCAGAAAATGAATTTAATAGAGATGACTGATGGTCGAGATAAGCGGGAATAATTAATGACGGGTTTAAAAATTGTTAAAATCATAACCAACGACAGTACAGACAAATGATAGTTCACAGCCGGTAATGATAAGCGCAGTGTACAATTCACTGTAAACGAAGCAGTGGGATGATGGGACAGATGTAGTCATGTATGAACTGGGTTCAAATCAAAGCAGTTAAACAAATATGTTACAACGATTTCTGTCCTGGTTGGTTACGATGAAAAATGTAGAATAATTTGTACGCGATGAAAAGTGGTAAAACAAATATTTACAATGTTACGTTCAGAAATATTATTCTGGTAAATGTTACCCACATTGTTCGTACGATTCAAATATATTTTACATTTCACTATCTCAACAGATAAAACTTGTTCCATATATTAATGATAAAATATATCGTCATGATGTACATTCATATTCAATAAAAACGCACACGTGGGAAATGAGTAAGCAATGAAAAACATTATACACAAAAACATAATAACTTTTTCATTGTTTTTATCGCAAATAACAGAGTTACAAGATTGAGCAATTAGTCTTCATTAGTTACATCTTAATTTCACTACTGAATCCTTTCTTTTGTCAGTCTTCCTCTTGCCCATTTCTCCTGTATCCTATCCTTTAAATGTTTGATTTATGGGTGTATTTTGTGTGAATTTGATTTGTTTTTTGTGTATATGTGTGCACGTACAGATGGTTTTTGTTTGTGTGTACACGTACAGATGAGTAAGTGTGAGTAGCTTTTTTAGGCTAAGTATTCTTAAGGAAATATAACTAGAATTAGTTTTTCCACTAAAAGACGATAAATTGAAGAGGAAAAGCTGAGAAGAAAGAAGAAAAAATGTAAAGAAAGACAAACATACAAGGAAACACACAACGATTTCAGAATCAGAACACGAGGAGAATTTCATATTTCAAAAACTGTTTCGCGAAAGTCTTAAAAGATTTAGACTTGAAGCAAAGGTAGTGGAAATAAAACCAATAATTGATGAGCATCTTACACTTTGTCGTGTTACTGGAAGTTTCATGTATTTTCAAGTTTGTGTAAGTGTTCTATCGTCTCGTCGTTAACAATTGTTTTGAAGGATTATGTCTGTGTGAAACCAGAATGCAGGATCTATGTTGTAGTTTCTCCCAACCCTTCAATTAAAACCTTTAGAACAATCTTATGTAAGGATTTTGCTTTTCACAAAGTCACATCATGTGCATACCAAGTGTACCTTGTTTCCAGCCCAACGTTAGATTTCTGTGATATAGCTAGTAAGGGCCATTTCTGAGTGCACATTTTCACGGTAAGACAAATATGAGCGGGTGTCTACATTGACTAGAATGCCCTCACTGGTTTCCACAATCTTTCAATCCACCAAAAAAGCTGGATGCTTATGTATCCCTACCTAGTTTATTGTTACACTTCGGTCAAGGAAAAAGTCAGATTCTGGTGCATGCGAGTATTTTAGCATTTCAAGAATGAGTGCAGTTTGAGCTCGTTTGAAACGATAAATTGCGAAAAAGATTCCCAATTCTCCAATTACAGAGACATAGTTATTAAGACCGCATTCTAAAGCCAAACTGGGTTATGTGTTACTTTATGACAATGTTCGTCAGAACCAAACATTGACTGTAGAAGCTAGTACTTGCCCGGAGCCGTGAATGAACTGAGCACAACACTCGTAAAAAGTTTATCCCCTTCAGCTCACCACAAAAGCAAACGTCACCTGAGTCATAGTGGCATGGAACCAAACAACACACGATAGAATCCTTAGGACATAGGATGTCCAATTGAATAATCTCTAGGAGTCCAGTCTCTTTTCAACGTTTCTAGTCTAGTTGATCTAAGCCACTGGCTGCCGGTGGTCTAATGATATCACTTCTGCCTGGCTTAGACGCCAAAGAGGAGGTCAACGAAACTGCCAAATGACGCACATGTGCTCATCTGGAAGTAAACCATGTAGCACATTGGCTCTCGATATGCATGCGTCATAAACAACAGTTTTCTTGACAACATTTCTCTGGAGATTGGACAGCCCTGCCTTCCGAGACATTTTCCGCGTATAGGGCACGGGGGTCGTCAGAGGCCCTCACGGTCATGGCGTAGTCCAACTCTACGACCTCTACTTCCGGGGTGAAGGGTCAAAGTTGATGAAGGAACCATTTCCGTCATAATCGGCGTACTGTGGGAGGGCGGCTGCTGTCTTCGCCCTACCCAGGGTCCCTCGCGTCAATGTGAGATGGGACTGTGCGACATCTCCGAGGGTGTGCCCGAGAAGTCTGAGCCTACAGAGCCCACCATGTCATCTGAGTGCATGTAGCCGCGATGCATCATCATCTCACCGTGCCCTGGGGACCCGCCCAGACCAGGGTGCATCATCATATCGCCGTGAGGGGGCGGGCTGGGCATGCCTGGGTCCATATGGTCAAAAGAGGACATCTGTAGGGAGTGGACAAAAGACAGAAAAACGGAAGTTAGTCGAGAGGTTTCGGAAACGACCTGCAACTTCTGTCTTTGATAACAATCGGGAGGTTACAAAATTAAGGAATTAATTTTTTAAATAACAACAGCAACAACAACAACAACAACAACAACAACAACAACAACAACAACAACAACAGGCTAACTACAATAATACCAGCAATTGCAACAGCATTGGCGATTAAACAACAAAAATAACAAACAACGTAAACAGCTAAGGACAAAACAACAACAACAACAACAACAGATAACAAAAACAATAATAATAACAGCACTGACAACAGCAACAATAGTGTCAGCAGAAACACATTATAGATACGACCGCCACTCAATACCACACCGCAGAAAAGAACAACACAAACAACGAACAATGGGGAAAAAACACAAATAGAAAACAGAAACCCAGTAACTCCAACGTAAACACGGCAGGAGGAGGGAGAGAACTTGGGCACATAAACACTGATATCAAATTAACAAAAAAAACCAAAAAAACCAACGATGCAGGATGGAGGAAAATCTAAGGGACTAAAAGTTTTGAAGCTTAAGAATAAAGAGGTGACAGGTGACGAGGAAAATATGTAAACAAAATTAGCTAAGAAATAAAACTACCAGACCATGATGTTATTATAATCATAAGCTCGCTTTTTATTTTTCTGTGTTTATTTGTTTGCTTGAGTTGGGAAGGCATGTGAGTGATATATTTATTTCAGGACATGAATAGCTTTAAATACAAAAGATTTGAGGCGCAAATTTTCCTGTGAATAAAATAAATGTGCAAAAGATTGTCTGTTTTGAATAGTAATGACTAAAATATCAACATACTAATTATAATTACAAATAAGGCATCCGCGTTTAGGTGAATGCACACAGATAAGAACCGTTTGTGTATTGCGTAAGCGAGAACGAAAGAAATAAAAGAGAGTGGAAGAGAGTGAGAAGGAGAGAGAGAAAGAGAAAGAGACAGACAGACAGACAGAGAGAGAGAGAGAGAGAGAGAGAGAGAGAGAGAGAGAGAGAGAGAGAGACTATGGACAAAAGAAAAAAAAGTGTTGGCATGGGAGATATCATTAGGAGAGACCTCTGTCAAATCATTGACACGCTGGCATAGAAAGTATACTCCTTTCAAGCTGATGACCTCTAAACATAGGACCAAAGGGAAAACAAAATATGTGCGGGAAGGTATTAAGCGTAATTGAGCAAGCAGGAAAAAAGGAACATTGTGGAAACAGCAAAGATGATTGCTATAACGGCGATCTACAGAATGATAGAGGACTTCAGGTCGAAGCAGCAAACTAAAATCGCATTGAAACGATAAAGACCATGAATGAAGGGTTGACGATACGGTGGTGTTCAATAAAACTGAAAGAAATAAAGGCTAATGGAAACCAGGAGGGGGGAACACATATCAAGCAGCTTGGCTTTCGACAATTTTTGGAAGGTCCTCACATTTGAAAGACTAGCATCATTGATCCTCTAGATAAACCACCGTATCGTCTTCCTCATCCATCGTCATCGTGCTGCTATCGTCAACATCATCGTCGTTTTCGTTGACGTTTTGGCATTTGGAGTGTAGCTGCTCGCTGGGAAGGTGATGGTCGTGTAGGTTAGCCTGGAATTGACGGTGTCGCTGCTGCTGTTGCTGCTGCTGCAGCGTTAAAGGCTGGGGTTGGCAACAGTTATCGAAGAAGTTATTATGACTAGGATGGTGGCCATAGCCTAGGAAGTTGAAATTATTAAGCTCAGCTGGAGGTTGAGATAGAAAAGTGCCGTTACTGTTGTCAATACTGATATGTTGAGGAGGGTGGTGGTGGTGGAGGATGTTGCTGTTGATGCTGCTGTTGCTCACCAATTGCTGGAAGGGCGCGTGAGGCTGGTCCATGTCTCCCTGCATGGCGAACTCGGACAACGCCTTCCATGGCGTCTGGTAACTCTGAACCTCCACGGGGTTGCCCTGCATCCCGGCAGGCGGCTCATGGCGCACGGGGCTGGACGCTACCATAGGCACACCCTGCAGGGGACGACTTAGACCTCCGCCGTTCTGGAAGAGAAAAGACACAGCAACTTAGCACCATGAAATACAATGTCGTTTGTTTGCTTGTTTGTTTATTTTTGTTGGTTTGTTCGTTGTTAGTTTATTATTTGATTAAAGAGAAGCACAGTGACACATAGTGCTAGTCAAAAATAAGATAGACAGAAACAACAGCAGTGAAAAAGAAGTAGGAACTACCAGGGGCGTCCTTCAAGAATTCGCTTTTCGATAAATATTGTGATAAGAAAATAAATTCTATTCTACTTCTTTTTCTTCTACTTCCCTTGTCTGATACCAATTGTAGTTTCTTCAACAGTTCATCCCACGGTGCGACTGGTTAAAAATTATATGGATTTTATCTCTACTAGAACGTAACTAGAGCAATGAATAGTCATTTCACTTGCCAGTATCAAGCGCTTTTCTCTTCGCTAATAATTGGGATACCCCAAAGACACACAGTCGAGTTACACAGTTAGAATGTGTCAGGAATTAATTAACTGCAGCTACTACTCATTACGTAATAATGATGATGATGATGATGATGATGATGATGATGATGATGATGATGATGATGATCATCATCATGATGATGATAACCGCAGTAACATCCACAACAACAAAAGATGGAAACGGTGACACGCGCTATAGCGACCGTACACCACGACAAGGACACAACATTGTAAAGTCTTCCCACCCGCCATTCTTCAGTGACCCCAAACGCCGCTCAGAGCTGCCAACACGACCTTCTCCAAACGATGACAAATGAGGGAAAGAGAGAGTATCCCATTCAACCGAACCCATGTCCAAGTGAGAAATTACCAATTGTGCCCCATCATGCAACGGGTCATTAATTTCTACGATTTCACTCCGCGGCCAAGACGAACGTGCGGACTTCACTGACACTGGTGAGACAGCGTTCTTGGAAAAGGTCATGCTCTCTAGTCTCCGTTTGTTTCAGATCCCCCGCGAGACAACGGCGAGTGTCCCAGCACCGCCCTTTGCTTGTATTGTGAGCTACCACTACGGTCGGTGGTCTCAGTGCACGGGTGCGGTGTGAAAACTCCTGCGTTCTGGGTTTCCCTTTCTTAAGCCCCCTCATCATCATGGGTGGTGTTGTGTGTCCAATGATTGAAGCTAACTGCAGTTCAATACAAGATGGCCAAATTTTGAGATCATGTACTCGGTGCCAACTACGGCTGGATCGGGCCGATCGCCCGATTCGATCGACTGAAACTGAAAACAAACACGTTGTTTTTGAGGGGATCGAGTCGGGGCGATCGGTCCGAACGGCCGATCCCAGCCGTAGTGGGCACCCTGTATAACGGGTTTATTTGTTTGATTACTTTTCAGTGGGTTTGCTATATGACTCGTGGAACCGTTAATCTATGCCATGTTTTTTTTCCTTTTTGTCGTGACACCAAACATATTCCTAGAAAAAGAAAAGCTGCCTTAGCGTAGGGTGTGGCGTTTTCCTTCATTACAAAATTTTGTGGTGTGTTCCATATTATTTTCTCAATTTTTTAACTATCTCATTATCCCTACACCTGTCGCAAGATCGGGTAACTGTTAGGACACTAACCTCGTAATCCAGAGATCCCAGGTTTGAGTCTCACAAGAATCCAGTGAAATATTTCGAAAGGATTTTCTTGGCTTTCTTATAATGACTCAGTCTTATTGTAAAAGGACTTACCAATGTAAGTACCGCGTCTCAAATAAACTATGCGAGCTAAAGGTGGAGTCAACAACAACTTATACTTACTTCATCTGTTTTTTATGTTGAATTTTTTTTGGTTTTGTTACGTCAAGAAAGCAATCTGTCTAGAAACTTTCTGATATTCTAAAACGAGTGAGCGCTCACTACTCTCAAAGAAAGGGTTTTTCTATCTGACCATAAATACAGCCTACACTCATGCAGTGTCCTCGTTGGTTAAAAATCTCCGGAACCACGGGAAGTCGAGATTTTTTCAACAAGCTTAAGCCATCTTAACCAAACGAAGAGGAAGGAAAATCATTCTAGAGCTCCCTGACGCTCGGATTAGCCAGCTACGATTTCCCACCAAGCATCAGATTTCATTAAGCAAATGACGATTGATGAAGATGTTTATTTTCTTCTTTCCCATCGAGTATCATCCCTGGATGTTTTTCTTTCTGTCCCTTAATCCGATTGATATAATGAACACATTAGGTTATTAAATGTGGGGAAGAAGGAAAGGGCAAATGGGCTTGGGGCTACAACCTATGTTCGATTCGGAGCTCCTTGCACTAACAAGAGGTGTATAAGAAAGCTGACTTTTAAAAGCATTAAGTCTGCTCGATGGCTGAGACTGTGATTTTACTCTCATTTCCTTTAGTCCCTTTTCATGTAAAGAAGTATTTTTTATCAAACGCAAGGGTTGAATCAAATTAGATCACCAGAGAAGGGTTCCACAGAAGGACATCTTGTATACAACGGCTCTACTGTAAAGTTAGCCAAGGTCTCGACAAAGATTTTTCGCTTTATGATGCCAAAAGCTATTTCATTACTATTAATATCATTACTGCGATATTGGTCCCTTCCCATTGGCGACTCTCGGGTTAATCGCATTATTATCTCACTCAACTGGCTGGCTTTCTTTGATATGCAAGAAAAAATCCGAGTTTTTGTTGAGACAGAAACGTAGCACCTCTCTGCTTGTTTGGAAGTGTTATCTCGGAACGTAAAGTGCGATCAATATCAAAATACCCTACGGATGCCCTTTGAAAAATGTCATCCTGTGACGTAGACTTGTGACTGCCCCTCTGTCGGACTATTTTATATACAAATTATACAGAACAACGCCATTGGACAGGCAATATAACTCTAGTTAGAGTAAACATCCACTTTTCCCTTTTCGTCTCCTCTCTTGCTTTATAAATTTTTAACACGAACATAATATTACAGTTAGAGAGCCCTTCAAGAACAACTCTTGCGAAAACACTTTCCAAATTTTCGAGGAAATTCGTGTGTGTTGATATGTCTTCATACACTTCTTACGGTAATAAGAGTACGGCGTTGAAAGGGGTGTTAAACACATACCGTACATCTATGTATGCTTGATTAGTTAATGTAAAAGTAACGGATGTTCATACACACTATTCATTTTAACTTATATCAGTCTAATTGATCTAACGATAAACATTTTAAAAAATCTTTCTTCCCCCGACAATTAGTCTCCTAATGCGCGGAGGACAATGTTCTAGTCTGGGTTTTCTTTCTCGCCCAACTAAATTTACGAGACCCGGGATCAGAGCTAATATGGTCAATGGCCGCTCGATGTGTATATAATCATAGCTAATGTAAAGATCCAGCCTCTTACCTGCCGACTAGCCGGATTTTCCTTGGGTTTTTTTCTTTGTTCTTTTCTTTTTTATTATGATTTTGTTCGCTAGCGCTCCCTCGCTACTCCACTTTCCCCCTCTCCCTTAAAAAAAATCCACCCGCCTCTTTTGTGGACACACACAAACACATTCCTTGGTTTCTTTCTTTTATACGCCATCACTTTCCATTTCCAGTAATATTTCTCGAGGAACATAACCAGGATTGAGGTAAGAGGGGGGAAATCTTTTATTTCACCCCCTCCCCCTTTTTCTTTCTCACCCCCCCCCTTGGCCAACCATATCCCAACCACAAACGATTTTATTTTATTACTTTCTTTTTTTTTTTTTTTTAGTTTAGAAGCTTAATCCTTTGTCGGGCCAGCACGATGTGTTGATCCGATGAAAATTTCCTTACTCCTGACGAGCGATTGTAAGCGACGGGAGCTCTAATTTCCTCCCATTACTCCCAGCAATTCTGGGCCCCGGCTCCGGGCGAGTTCCGCTCCGACCGGAAATTGGACGACTCGAGCCTCTAGACAACCTGGCCTCTTTGGGCGCAATGAAAAGCAAATTAGTACAAAAACCCGTTTTCACGCCAATTTCTGCATTAATTTGGCGAGCCAGCGGTTCAGGTGAAAGAAGTGTAGAGAGAAAAGAGCCCAAGATTCGGTTGTTCTTGAGTGTTCGTTTAAAAAAAAAAAAGAAAGAAAGATTTAATCTATGAATTGTTTATGTGTGCCTCGTACTTCTCTCATTCACGCTTAATTTTTTATCTATTTATTTATCTATTTATCTATTTATTTATTTATCTATTTATTCATTTATTTATTTATTTATTTTGTTTAACCTTTTTCTTTTCTTTGGGGGGGGGGGGGGGGGTGTCTCTCGGCCAATTTCTCACTTGTTTCTGCACGTGAGTTTTCTGTTTATGTGTCAGTTTTTTTTTACTCATCTTAGCTTCCAATTTCTTCTCAAAGTTTTTGTCTTCTCACCCTGTCTTTCTCTCTTTCTGTAGGTATCCTCTCTCAATTTTGTCGACCTCTCCCACCCCCTGTATCTCGTTTTCTTTCCGCTTCGGTCATTTTCTGACGGGTACACGAATCCATCATAGCATGCACATAAACACATTTATTAAAAAATTATATTTAAAAAAAAATCCTCACTGGAAAAAAACCCAGAGCTCCGTACATTTTTTCTTTAAAAAAAAAAAAATCCAAAAAAATCTGACATTCTGTCGATCCCGGGTATATGTTTCCCTTACCGCCATCATCGTCTTCAGTCAACAAATGCGAGCTGTGACAGGCAGGTTCTAGTTATTTATCTTTTAAACAACATAGGGAATCACATTCGTTCAGGAAAAGAAAATGTTCAGTACAGTGGGCCTTGCCTTCAGGGTGGCACAATTCAGAAATTTAAACAAGTTTTTCTAGTGTAATACTGTATCTCCATACTGAGGAAATGGAATTGACAAGAAAAACCCCCGACCTTTTTTTAATATAAGAACGTCAAATTATTACACACCCTCACCCTCAATCCTCCCCCCTTTCCCAGCAAAATAAAAATAAATAAATAAAAAAATAAAAAAATACTGATTGAGTTTCTCAAATACCAAGATTACTGAAAATAGGTTTCAAAATCACGCTCTTTTAAATAATAAAATGGTTCACCGTCGA